CTTGAGTTATAAGAAATAAGTGTATATATAGATGCTTGTTCACATTCTTGAATCATAGTTTTATTATTTCTGATATATGGATGGAATAAATAATTTAGAAAATAGATATAACTAGAAAAGTATTCTCAAAAAACTACTTTTTTGTCGGAGCCAGTGATTGGTTTTCTGTATTTATCTTTACCTCTAAACAGCATCTGACAGCTGAATATGCCTTCCTTCTTGAAACATTTTCTTTTCCCCACTCGCATAAGGGCATGCTCCTAGTTTTTCTAACTTTACTTATCACTCCTTCTCAACCTCTTTTGCCATATCCTCCTCCCCCACCAGACATCTGAGTGCTCTCTCTAGGTGACATCATTCAAATCCATAACTTCAACACGTTTGACAGCTCCCATTTTATATCTCCAGTCATGACCTTCCTTGTTATATCCAGTCCATCCCCAATATTTCCAGTATAAACACTTCTTCTCATCTGCTCTACAACCTTACTTCAGGCTACCACTTATTTGGTTGTCTCTCATTGGCACCACTACAACCACCTCCTACCTTTGTCTTTCTGCAGGCACTCTTATCCTCCTCTCTTTGAATACATTTTAAAACTCTTCTTTTTAAAGAAGCTGAAGTAGCTGGGTTTTTTTCTTTTTTTGAGACAGAGTCTCACTATGTTGCCCTCAGTAGAGTGCTGTGGCGTCACAGCTCACAGCAACCTCAAACTCTTGGGCTTAAGTGATTCTCCTGCCCAAGAGGAGGGCCTCAGGTAGCTGTGATTACAGTTGCAGTTATCATTGTTGTTCAGCTGGCCCGGGCCAGGTTCAAACCGCCAGCCTTGGTGCATGTGGCTGGCGCCATAACCACTGTGCTATGGGCACTGAGTGGGAAGTAGTTTTTTTAAATCCCAATTCATATCTTACCACCCTACCTTCTCTTCGTATAATAAAACTATTCACTCAGTGACTTCCCATTGCAGCTAGAATAAAACCAAAACTCTCATGGCTTTCTGATTTATGTGAAACTGCTCTACTTTCAACCTATCTCCCCTCTTCTGCTGTGGTTCATCTATAATGACCGTATTTCTGTTTCTGAAACATTTGAAGCTTGTTTCTGTTTTAAGGCTTTTACATTTCTTAGAACCTCTTCCCTCAGATCTTCACATTACCTTCTCATTCTAGCCATTCTGGTCTCAGCTCAAATGTCACCTCCTCCTTGAAGTCTTACTTACCTGTCCTACCTAACCTTACTTTCTACGGAAAGGTACCAAAAATAAAATTTGATAGAATTTTACCAAAAAAGTGGTTATTTTATATATGTTAATCTAAATTTAAATGCATTTAAATTTATACATTTGTATATTATAATTCACATTTTTGGTAAAATTTATTGAAACAAGAAACTGTTGTTAATGTACATGGAAAATTAGTATCATTTGCCAATATTGAAGATAATAAAGATAAATATAGTGAAAACTACAGTTTTATTAAACTTTTTACTTTCTTTAGAAGCTCTAAGGCTGAGGCCTGCTCTGTTGATAAAAAGGCAAATTTAGAAATGTTAAACATTTAAGACCAATAGCATCAAAAAATCAGATCATATCCCATCAGTATCAAGTTCATATCCCGTCATAACCCATCACTATCTCCTTGGCAAGTTCCTACCCAATGGGAACAGCACACATGTATATGGCTCACTTCCTGAGTGAAGGACACAACTACAACTGGGACTTTACCTTATAAATGTAAACAACGTAACCTAATCATATTAATCTGAAATAACAAACAAACAAAACATGGCATGATTGAAAGAGAATGGAAATGGAAGCAACTTTCTCACTAAGTGATTCCGTATAATATAGTATTGTCTTTGTCTTCTAAACTTACCAGTGCACTAAAACTAAACATTGTTTTGCTTCATGTGAAGTTGAAACAACTTTGGCCCTGGACTAGGGTAAAAGTATGCTAATAAACTAAATTCTTATAGTTTATTTTAACCTTTTCCAAGTACATTGAGTAACATAAAAATGTATTACTCAAAATTAATGTGTTGAGTGTATTACTGTAGAATTCTTCTAAATTACTAATTTCCACATTACAAAAAAATAGTATACCTTAATTACTGCAAGAGTTCTGTGTGTTGGTTCTCTGCTAAACACTTTACATATATTATCTGATTTAATTATACCCATTCTTTGAGAGGTAGAAGTATCTTTATTTTATTTCATTCATTTGTTCATTCATTCATTCATTTTTTGAGACAAAGTCTCACTCTGTTGCCCTGGGTAGTGTGCCATGGCATCATAGCTCTTAGCAACCTCAAACTCCTGGGCTTAAGAAATCCTCTTGCCTCAGCCTCCTAAGTAGCTGGGATTATAGGCACCTACCACAGTGCAGGTTTTTCTTTTGTCTATTTTTAAAAGACAGCTCAGGCTGTTCCCAAACTCCTGAGCTCAGGCAATCCACCTGCCTCAGCCTCCCAGAGTGCTAGGATTATAGACACGAGCCACCATACCTGGCCAGCATCTTCATTTTAAAGATATGAAGACAGGATATATAGAAATTATATAATTTGTCTAAGATTCTGTGACTAGTAACTCTATCTGACTTCAAAGACTATATTTCCTTAAGCACTAAAGCCTGTACTAATAAAAAGGACAAGATGTGAAGGAATGCTGTAACCTAAGTGTATGGGGAGTTCTGTTGATCTAAGATTATGTATTTGGAAAAGAACCTCTAGCTTTTTAGCCCTAAGAAATGGGAAGCTGCCTAAATGGCCACCAGATTGTATAGAAGTTTTTATTTTATATTTATTTTAGTCACTATTTTATCACAAGGGTATTCATTTCACAGGATATCTTTAATTTTCACTTAATTTTTATCTTAATACTTGGAATTGCTTATTTGAAAAAATAAATTTAAATTCTTTTAATATTTTATGAATTATGAATATTTGAATTGAAATATTCTTTTCAATTTATTTTAAAAAATAAATTAAAATTACCACCTCACAATACAAATAAATATATTAATATTCCTAACCTCAGGACATGGGACAGCAATGTGTATCCAGAGTATGTGTAGAGTCTATGATTTGAGTTTTTTTTCCTTATAGTAGGGGCAGTGGATTTGCCATGATACAGTCATAACTCTTTTCCAAGGCTTATCCTTGGCAGAGTGTAGGCAGAGTGCAATCAAAAAGATAATTTAAAGGTTATAAGATAGGTGAATCCCTCTACCACCACCTTCCTTCTTTAGTCTGGGTTTTTTCTTTGGATTACTTAGATCATCAGAAAGCTTTCTTTTCTTTGCTTTCAGAAGAATTATAATTACTAAGTTCCTTTCTGTTATCCACTTGGTTAAAATTGAGGGTTGTAATTAAGAAATTGCCATTTAAAACCTGTAATACATTCACTATAGAGATGTTGTTAAGGATATCACTATAGTTACTCATTGGCCCCTACGTAGAAACAACTACAAGGTATATTTTTCCTTCTAGTGCCATAGAAAAATGTAGTTACTTCTATAACTAACCATGTTATTTTGACTGCCAGGAAGCTAATTTTAATTTTTATTTTCATATTTTACCATGCCACTTGTGTAAAATACCTCAAATCTTGATGAGAGTAAATAGTATCATGCTTCTAGGAAAACTTCTTTTATATTTTGAAAGATTCCAAAAATTTACCTAAACCACTGTCTGTTGTGTTTATTTGTAAAATGTAATGTAGGTACTCATTTTTTGCTAATTTTTTATATGAATTTGACATTATACATCATTTGTATGTCAATAATACCTAAATATTACTTTAAATTCTTACATTTGAATTGCAGTATACTTATGGTTTTATTTTTCCTGAATAATGCATATTTCAATGCAAATAATTTATTATTTTTAATTCTGGGAAATTATATTTAAAAACTCTTTGTAACTTTATATGAGAATGTCTTGGTCTTTAGTTTCTAAGAATGAGCTATGTTCACCATTTCTCTTACCAAATTCATTCAGACTGTGTCATGATTACCATGATACCTCTGTCTAAAATAATTGATACTTTGTTAGAAAACATCTCATTTTGAGACTATAATCTAATTGGTAATTTTAATGAAATAATTTGTTTATAAATGTGTTTTGTGGGTATATCATTGCTTTTTGTTTATAATATTTCTTAGTATTTGTTCATTTTTTGTGATACTGTTCTTTATATGGTAATTTGAGTAAATCCCAGTTGAATTATGTTGCCACATTATGTCTTCAAAAGGGCATGAAGTCAGTACACATGCTTCAGTAATATCTGGTTGTTTTACCCTATGTTTCCAGTTGGCAATTTGAAATTATGGCTTCAACTGCACTTTAAATATGTGATAATAGCATGTGTTTCTAATAAGGGCCAGCACCATTTTGTTCAGATAGTGTGAATGGTTGTCACTCATATATGACAAATGCACCTTCATCTGCTTCTTTGATAGCCCCCTAAAAACCATACCCTCAAATCAGGCCGATGAAATTAGCTGCTGTGTAAATTGTGTGTCTGAGTGGTTCATTATCTAATCACCGTCAGAACCACAGTGATAAAGTAGATTGAAGCAGGGAAGAGGTCTGCCAGATGATTTCAGGCCCCCCTCCCTAAATCTGGTTTCCCTTGGAAACCCTAATAGTGCAGTTTAGAACTTGAAGTCTTTCATGCCTGGAATTCAGTATATTTTAATGTACCAAACTTGGAAATGCCAGTAGTTCTAGAACATAATTTTCTTTTTGTAAAGACCATAATTGTATTTATTTCAATCAATTTTTGAAAGGTCAAGGCTCTTGAACTACTGTTTTGTTGCTAGTACCCTCAGTATTACTAAATGTGAAAAAAGCACCATGTCCTACTTGCATAGAATTCAGAATAATTTATCTATTATAGCTATTTGTTAACCTTCTAGGTAGGAATCTTTCTCTCTTCCTGTAATCATAATGACTTTCTATCTTATTTGTTTATTGAATTTCTTCCCTTTAATTCATTTTAGGTGCTTTTGAAGATGATGATATCACACATGTTGAAGGAAGTGTAGATCCTATTCGAGATATAGAAATAATACATGAAGAGCTTCAGCTTAAAGATGAGGAAATGATTGGGCCCATTATAGATAAACTAGAAAAAGTGGCTGTGAGAGGAGGAGATAAAAAACTAAAACCTGAGTATGTAAGTAAAAATTTACAGCTTCTTTAGATACTTTGGTGTTTGTGTGTTTGTTTGTTTGGGGTAAAAAAAAAATTTTTAATAAATCACATAAAATATTTAATTTCACTAATGGAATTTTAGAATCCAAGGGTTATTTCTATTAAAAAAATTGTTGAGAAACTTTATTTTATTTTTAGGCAATCAAGGGTCATGGTGATAGGCTATTTAGGATGTTCTCAGCAAGCCATAATTTGCATTAATATTTAATGTTGATGTGGTGACAATGTAGACTTCAAGTTTTGGTGTTAAGTTTGGTTTTGTGATGAAAACTTATTGGATTTAGAGAAATGACTGAATATATGGATTTCATGATTTTGAAGAAGTGATTTATACAAAGAAATGGTTTTCCTTAGGAGTTGACTAAGTTGAATGTACTCTTAAAGTAGATAGATCATCTTAATCTTTTATAGCATGAAAACATGCATCATTGTCCTTAATATTGAAATGTGTTTCCTATCACATAATTAGAGAATAATTATTAGTAAAATTGTAACAAATGTCCCAAAATCAATTTTGAAGCTTTTGGTTTAAGAATGATTGAATTGTCTTTTATATTTAAAAAACAGTGCTTTAAACTATACATTTTCTCATTAATTAACATAGACCCACACCTTTCTCCACTCACAAAAATTGATTCAAGATGGGTAAAGGACTTAAATTTAAGGCATGAAACAATACAAATCCTCAAAGCATAGGAAAAACACTGGAAGATATTGGCCTGGGGAAAGGCTTCATGAAGAAGACTGCTATGGCAATTGCAACAACAACAAAAATAAACAAATGACTTAATTAAACTGAAAAGCTTCTGTATAGCTAAGGAGACAACAACCAAAGCAAATAGACAACCTACACAATGGGAAAGGATATTTGCATATTTTGAATCAGACAAAAGCTTGATAACTAGGATCTATAGAGAACTCAATCCACATGGAAAAAGCCAACAATCCCATATATCAATGGGCAAGAGACCATGAATAGTACCTTGTCTAAAGAAGACAGACGAATGGCTAACAAACATATGAAAAAATGTTCATCATCCCTAATTATTAGAGAAATGTAAATCAAAACCACCCTGAGATATCATCTAACCCCAGCGAGAATGGCCCACATCACAAAATCTCAAAACTGTAGATGCTGGCGTGGATACGGAGAGAAAGGAACACTTTACACTGCTGGTAGGACTGCAAACTAATACAACCTTTTTGGAAGGAAGTATGGAAAACCCTCAAAGAACTCTAGCTAGACCTCCTATTTGATCCTGCAATCCTATTACTGGGCATCTACTCAGAAGGAAAAAAATCCCTTTATCATAAGGACACTTGTACTCAACTGTTTATTGCAGCTCAATTTACAAGCACCAAAATGTGGAAACAGCCTAAATGCCCACCAACCCAGGAATGGATTAACAAGCTGTGGTATATGAATACCATGGAATACTATTCAGCCATTAAAAAAATGGAGACTTTACAGCCTTTTTATTAACCTGGATGGAAGAGGTACACATTATTCTTAGTAAAGCATCACAAGAATGGAGAAGCATGAATCCTATGTACTCAATTTTGATATGAGGACAATTAATGACACGGTGGGGGTGGGGGAAAGGAAGAGCAGAGAGAGAAGGAAGGAGGGAGAGGTGGGGAAAGGAAGAGCAGAGAGAGGGAAGGAGGGAGTGGGGTGGGGTCTTGGTGTGTGCCACAACTTTGGGGGGCAAGACATGATTGTAAGAGGGACTTTATCTATCAAATGCAATCAGTGTAATCTGGTTTCTTGTACCCTCAATGAAACCTCCCCCCCAAAAAAACAGTGCTTTAAACTATACATTTTCTCATTAATTAACATACACTCTTCTTGCATTTTATGTATCTTTGTCACAGGAAAGATTTTTCTTTCTAATTTTTCATGTATTAATTTTTAACACGTGTTATTTTCTTATTTTTAGAAATTTTTGTTCCACCTTTTTCTCTTCCTCGGTTATTCTTAGGAAATTTGGAAAACTCTCCGCTGTTAAGAAAAAAAATCAGTTATCAGAATCAGCTTTTAAACTCGGGCATACTATCAATAAATTATGGTCAGAAGTGCCTGAAACTTGGAATCAGGAGACCCGTGTTGTGCAGTTGATTTCTCTGATGGTCTAGAGCAAGCCTAAGTCACTTTACGTGTCTTAGGAAAGAGTGTATTTGTTCGTAGGACTGCCGTAATAAGTACCACAAGGTGAATGGCTTAAAACAACAGAAATTTATTCTTTCATAGTTCTGGAGGACTAGACGTCTAAAATAAGAGTGTTGGCAGGATTATGCTCCCTCTAAAGCCTCTATGGGCGAATTCCTCCTTACCTGTTGTAGCTTCTTATAGCCACAGGTGTTCCTTGCCTTGTGGCAACAGAACTTCAGTCTGTTGTGTTTTCACAGGGACATCTTATCTCTTGTGTTTCTGATCAAATTTGTCTCTTCCTATAAGGATGCCAGTTATATTGGATTAAGAGCCTGCCCTACTCTAGTATGAGACAGAGTCTCACTTTGTCATCCTTGGAAGAATGCTGTGGCGTCATAGCTCCCAGCAACCTCAAATTCCTGGGCTCAAGCAATTCTCTTGCCTCAGTCTCCCAAGTAGCTGTGACTTCTGGCTCAGGCTGGTCTTTTGACCTGTGAGTTCAGCCAGTCCACCCACGTCAGCCTCTGGGATTACTTGGGAGCTAGGTAATGCACCCAAGTAATTCCAGAAAGAAATCCAGATTTCTTACTATTGTTAAGGTTATCTAGCCACTGCACCCAGTCTCTAGTATGGTCTTAACTAATTTTCAAAAAAGGTTACATTCTAAGGTCAAGGGTTAGGATTTTTACATTTTGGTGGGGGCGGGAGGAGCAGTACAGTTCAACCTGTAACACCAAGGCATCAAGATCAAAGTTAATTTTAAATCTATTTAAGTGTGTATACATTCAATTTGGGAAAATAAATTTAAAAAATGAAGTTAGCCTTTAAGCAACAGTTTATTTTGTATTGATCAATTATTTGGAATGTGTTATACTTAGAAAATATTCATGGAACTAATAGGAATCTAATTAAATGCTAAAGAAGTTCAACAAAAATTATAATTAATGATTCTTATTTTTTCTTTGAAAATGTCTCAGTAAATAAACAATATTCTCAGTAATATATAGCTATTAGATTTCTTACTATTGTTAAGGTATTTTTAAACATTTATATTTATATGTGATTAAAATACATTTAAAATATGTGGATTTAACTAAAATTGAAAGATTCAAGAGTATGCAGGCATACTTTGTTTTATTATCCTTTACTTTATTGGGCTTTAAAGATTATGTGTTTTTTATAATCTGAAAGTTTGTAGCAATCCTATGTCCAGCAAGTCCACCTAACAGCATGTACTCTCTTCCTGTCTCCATGTCATATTTTGGTAATTCTCAAAATGATTGATTTGGGTTCACCATAACCCACATCCCTTGAAGGTGACCAACTTAATTGATAAATGTTGTTTGTGCTTTGTTCCACAGACCCGCCATTTCCCTTCTCTCTCTCCTCAGGCCTCCCTGTCCCCTGAAATTCAACAATACTAGAATTAGGCCAGTTAGTAACTGTACAACAGCCTCATAAGTGTTCAGGTGAAAGAAAGAGTTGCACGTCTCTCTAAATCAAAAGCTAGAAACAATTAAGCTTAATGAGAAAGGCATGTGAAAAGCCAAGATAGGCCAAAAGGTAGGCTTCTTATGTCAAATAATTAGCCAAGTTGTGAAGGCAAAGGAAAAGTTCTTAAAGGAAGTGAAAAGTACTCCTCCAGTGAACACACGAATGAGAAGAAAGTGAAACAAATTTATGGCTGATAATGGAGAAAGTTTTAGTGGTCTGAATAGAAGATCAAGCCAACCACAACATTCCCTTCAGACAAAGGCTAATCCAGAGTCAGACCCTCAGTTTTAGAGTTAAAAGACAGAGGGGTAAGGAAGCTGCAGAAGAAAAGTTTGAAGCTAGCAGAGATAGGTTCATGAGGTTTAAGGAAAAAAGCTGTCTCCATAACATAATATTTCAAGGTGAAGTAGCAAGTGCTGATGTAGAAGCCGCAATCCAGAAGGTGTAGCTAAGATCACTGATGAAGGGAGCTACACTAACAATAGATTTTCAGTGTAAATGAAATAGCCGCCTTCTATTGGAAGAAGGTGTCATCTAAGACTTTCATAGCTAGAGAAGAAAAGAGAGAGACATCAATGCCTGGCTTGAAAGCCTCAAAGGACAGGCTGATACTTTGTTAGTGGCTAATGTAGCTGGTGGCTTTAATTAAATTGAAGCTAATGTTCAGTACCACTCTGAAACTCAGGGCCTTCAAAAATATGCTAAATCAGGCTGGGCGCAGTGGCTCACACCTGTAATCCTAACACTCTGGGAGGCTGAGGTGGGTGGATCATCTGAGCTCATGAGTTCAAGACCAGCCTAAGCCAGAGAGAGACCTTGTCTCTAAAAATAGCTGAGTGTTGTGGTGGGCTACTTGGGAGTCTGAGGCAAGAGAATCTCTTAAACCCAAGAGTTTGAAGTTGCTGTGAGTTGTGACGCCATGGTACTTTACCAAGGGCAACATAGTGAGACTCTGTCTCCCCTCCCAAAAAAAAAGAAAGAAAAAAAAAAAAGCTAAATCTACTCTGTGCTCTGTAAGTCAAACAAAAAAGCCTAAATGATACCATGTCTGTTGAAAGAACAGTTTACTGAATATTTTTAACCCACTGTTGAGAGCTATTGCTCAGACAAAAAACAATTTTTTTTTCAAAATATTACTGCTCTGGCCAGGCACCCTGTCTCATGCCTGTAATCCTAGTACTCTGAGAGGTCAAGGTGGGCAGATCACTTGGCTTAGGAGTTTGAGACCAGCCTGAGCAAGATTGAGACCTCCAACTCTAAAAAATAGCCAGGCATTGTGGATGCCTATAATCCCAGGTACATGGGAGACTGAAGCA